CAGACGCTGCTATTCATAAAGCTGCAGTTACGAAGATTTTCACCGACAGTTACGCTGCATACAAGTGTGTCTTGTCGACTTGTTTCTCTCCTACTGCTTTTCATCGCGATAATTTACCCCCAGAAAATTTGCCTTTGGGCATGATGATTTGTCTCCCTTGAGCCAGAGTCGGTCTATCCTTTCTTTTGTAAACAACGACTACTCGTTACGTTAAATCATACTAGGTTTCTCCGATGGACGAAACGGCTGGGGTGTGTAGTATTGAAGCCTTTCCACTTTGCGGCTGATACGAACCTGCCATTCAAGGTGCAAGCATCGTGGACGCCATGAGCACCCTGGTACGTATTCTGCCCTGACGATTCGTACAGAAGCTCATTTCCTCCAAAAGCATATCATGGGTTTAGACGTGCGTCTGCATTCCTGAGCTAACAGCAAGCCTAACAGTCTCCTCTCTTCCTGCTCTAGGATCTCTTCCAAGAAGCAGTCAACTTTGCAAGTCATATCGACTTTAGCAAGTCGCAAACTCCTGATACTGTCAGGTATGTCTTGTTTTCACCTGGAAAAATCTTCACAAACGCGTTTTCAGCGTGTTCGAAACCACAATCCGCTATGTGGGAGGTCTGTTGAGCGCCTTTGAACTCACAGACCAGAAATTTCCTGTTCTTCTGGAGAAGGCAAAGGAAGTCGCTGATAAACTGGCGTTCGCGTGGGTTGGGGTAAGCAATTACGTCTCTTCTATCACGTTCCATTTTGGACGTCTTTCCAAATGCCCATAGAACAACGTGGTTCCTTTCGGTTTCGTTAACTTTACGAATAACTATCCCACCATAGCTACTGTGCGTGGCGCGAAAAGAATTCATCACGGTCTTTAGCTAATGTCAGGGGTGACTCTAGTCGAACATCGCAGAAGCTGGCACTGTGAGCGATCTAAATTGGGTAACAATATGATAATCGTGGTTAAAGCTGAATTTTACCTGTTAAGCTATCCCTGGAATGGTCGACGTTATCATCTCACACTGGAAACCAGACCTACGCTGACCTCGCTGTTGGTTCAGTTCGTCATATCGCGAATCTTGTGAGTGTCTTCGTAGCCCCACCTTTCTCCATGCTCGTTCTGACTTTGCTCTCAGCCTGATCCCCTACCAGGTATGGCTGGTTCACTCACAAGCGAGCTCTGACAGTCAACTTGTGGGTCGTATACAAGGTCTAGCTGCGCAGGGAATAGACCCGCAATCTGGCGCATCTGTCGGAGGTTATGTCGTAAGTCAAGCTTCCTTTGCCTCTTTTTCGCCTCTTTCTCGCATTAAAATGACTTCGTACCGAACAGACATGGGGTGGCGGTTCTGACAGCTATTTTGAATACCTTATCAAGTATGCGCGGCTTTCAAATACGAACGACCCGTTGTTCGTGAATACGTGGCAAACGGCTGTTGATTCCTCAATCAGAACGCTCTTGAGAGTAAGTAAGCTTTTATGTGCTGCTTTAGTCTCTACCGGATTGTAATTGAGACGTGCAGACCTCCACAGTAGGAAACCGTGTTTATCTGGCCGACTTTGATGACTCGAGGAAGATTCGCCACATTGGCTCCCACTTGGCTTGTTTTCATGGCGGGAATTGGATTTTGGGTTCGTCACTCTTGTGCTTCGTTCAAATGAGGGAATCTTAAATTGGTAACCGAACCAGGTGGCAAGCTGCTAAACAACGATACCATCGTCAACATTGGTCTACAGCTCGCCGACGCATGTTGGAACACCTATGCCAGCACCGAGTACGTGCGAGCCTTCAGATCAGAACTTTTGCTCAAGTTTGATGATGCTACAGGACTGGAATTGGGCCAGAAAGCTTCGCATATATCTCTTTCGATGGCGGCTTCACAGGTGGCAGCCCACCCGATTCCGATGAACTCGAATTCAATGCCAAGCACGGATTCTACATCACCGATGGAGTGTACATTCAGCGCCCTGAGGTGCTAGAGACGAACTTCTACGCCTGGCGCGCAACCGGCAATACCAAATACCTTGATCGGGCGGCGAGCGCCGTCGCGAGTTTCAACAAGTTCTTGCAGACGCCGACGGGTTACGCGGGGATAAATGACGTGAACAACGTGGCGAACGGTCTCGTAGATGACACGGAGAGCTTCTGGTTTGCGGAAGTGTTGAAGTATCTGTGAGTGGAGTACTCGTATTTTGAGAATATCCGGGTTAACCTGTGCCCTTATACAATAGGTATCTGACATTCGATGACCCCAACCATATCAGTCTGGATGAATGTGAGTTGATCTTCTGTTGTCTGGCCTTTCCCTCATTTTGTTGTGGTAGATGTATTCAACACGGAAGCTCATCCATTCAAGGCGCCTTCAGCGAAGCCCGTGTATGGCACCAACACAATTCTCCCGGGCAAGCCTTTCAAAGTACAATCTGGCCCACCACTTCCAGCTGTCAGCCCCAGTCGCTTCGATAAGGGATTGAGAAACTCTCAGCAATAAGATGAAGGAAGGAGGCTTGAGAAAGAAATCTTGAAAGAAATCGGGCAGTGTCTTATTCCACACAATGATGGGTTCTATGTGAGCAAGGATATACAATGGTACAGCTTTATTTACGGTTAATTCTGTTATCACCGATTTTTGAGAGAGCCTGCTTGCCAGCAAAGATCGTGACCAGACCGAGAACGGCGCCGTATGAAAGGGCCTGTCCGAGTTTGAGGCCGACCCAGTACCATACCAAGAGCGCCTCGAAGGCTCCAAGTGTCAAAATAAAAGGGAGAATACTGGGTGAGAAAGGATACGGGACGCGAGGAATGACTTGACTCCACTACATTTCCCCGTAAGCATATAGAAAGGATTGATGGTTCAATACATACCAGGGCGAGGAGGACAGCCCAGGGAGCAACAACAACAGCAGAGAATATTGCAGAGATAGGACGAGGAGGCATTTTCTGGTCTGGGCGGAAAGTGTGGTGGATCTCGGGTAATGGGTGGAAGTTGGGTTCTTCTGGGTGTACGGGGGGCGTCTGGGAAGCGGGAACAACGAGATCAAAAAGCTCGAGTTTCAGAGGAGAGTGCAGGGGAGATCCAATCATGAGGGTGACTTTAAGAGGCGCGTCGGAGGTTGGGGGAAGTGACAACGGTGGCCTGGCCATGTTCTGAAGTGGCGTTAATCAGTATCTGAGTTCAGAAGATAGGAAATATAACACACTAGCTCGAACTTGGCCTTACCACCGTTTGTAACACGGACAGGTTGAACGCCCTCCTCACCCGATGTTTCATCATAGAAACGAAGAAACGTCTGGTGAGGTTGAACGCCCTTTCCACCGTCTTTCTCGACGATTTGGAAGGTCAGCTTCAACGTATCAGTCTTGCCTAGCGTTACGGGGGTCGATAGTGGTTGTGTTAACGAAATTCTGTAAATTTCATTCCACCTGAGCTTATAGTATAGTGCTGCGGTGACGAGGCAACACGTACGATTCGGATCGCAACTGCGAGCCTGTGGCCGAGGTAACAACGACTTTGGGAGTATGTAGGGTAAGAATGGCGGCCTGCGCGCTGGCAAAGAGCAGCGCCACGATAGGAAAGAAGAACATTAGGATAGCAGAGCTGAAAAGCGCTGAAGCTCGCTGGAAGCCAGTCGACGTGTTCAGGTGATGACGAATCACGTGACCCTTAATCACTTTTGCCGCGATCACTCAGCGCGATCTTGACCTTTCACTACCTGTGACCAATTTCTTGCTTTTCTTTTTCTTATTTTTTTTTACATATAACTATGGGTGAAGACACTGACATGCGTGTAAGATCACCTTTTCCCCATTGAATCCTGAATCGAGGTTGAAAGGTCTTTCGACCAGTCGACAGGACCAAATGATTTAGACTGGATCCGCGTCACCAGCACTGATGGGTTCTCTTACATTGTCCGGCGCAAGGTCGCAAATGTGAGCGGTACGATGCGGAGTATGCTTGACGAAAGTAGTACGTCGCGTCTCTTCAGAATCCTCTCATTCGTCGCGTGCCAGTGCCACTGACCGCGCTTCTTTCTTCTCAAGGTAGTTACGCGGAAGCTGTGACACGGACGTGCCATGTCAACGAACGGTATGTGCTGTACGCGTAAAAAGCTCTTCTCCGCAGGTCCTCATGTATGATCTTCAAGGGGTGTCATTGTGGAGAAGATGCTAGAATATATGGCGTTCAAGTTACATTATCAGGATGCGGGACCGAAGGAAGATATACCCGTCCAAGAATACATGGAACGTCTACCCCCGGAGATTGTGTTGGAGCTGTGAGTGTCAGTGCCCTCCTGTTTTCATCACGCTCACTACGTGGAAAGGCTCGTTGCTGCTGATTACCAAGAAGGTAAGCATCTGCTTCAAAGTGGCACTTCGACTACAGACTAAGACTTTGGTATATGAAGTATGAATCTAAGCTTTAGTTTTATATCGAATGTCCTGTCGTGTAGTTGCTGCGGTCATTCGTGGGTCGAGTACGAAGAATAATGATGGAATTGGTGGTTTATAGGTGGGACTGTTCATTTGTTTTCTTTGGTGGTGGTAAACTGGGCCATGATCATTTCACGTTGTGAATATTTATGATGTCTTGAAGTTTCATCCTTTTTTTTATCGTTTTGAGTGATGGGCAATATTCGTCATGATCATTCTATTGCTGAACGGTCCAGATTTTCTCCATTTTATTGCTCTTGATGCTTTCGTATTCGTCCGTTCGTGTATGTCGATACTTGCTAGTACCTACCGAGTCGACTTTTCTCCCTGAAATCGATTGCCGCTGTCCCAATGTGAGTTTTATACGAAAATAGGTCTCGATAGCTAAGTGGTATAGCATGCGATTGCAGTTAAGTTTATCGCAGGGTCCGGTGTTCGAACCACCGTCGGGACTGTAGTTCAGTTTCCGTCAGTGTTTTTTGGCTTGTCTTTTTCGAGAAAGAAAGAAAGATTTAGAAGAATCGACGACTTGGACAAAGACGATGCCCAGGGGGCCACAAAAATTGGGATATTAAGTCCCGACGGTGGATTGAACACCGGACCCTGCGATAAACTTGTCTGCAATCGCATGCTATACCACTTAGCTATCGAGACTACATTGAGGCTATCAAAAATGAAAATCATCAGGCAAACACACAGCAACTTCAAGAGGACGCGTTGGACGCGTCACCCTGATCAGAAATCTCGTTTCTACCCACTATCATCATGCCCGACGTTGAAATGAAGGGGACCGACACCAAGGCGAAGGACGACGCAAAGAAGGATGAGAAAGAGGTAGAAGAAACCCCCAAGCATATCACCCTTACTCCTTCAGCCGAAATCAAAGCTAACATCGCTCTCATCGAACGAGCTGTGTCAACACTCGAACCTCGCTTCACTCACCGAGTCCTGCGCACATTGACTGCATTACGAAAACGCATAGATGCATCGGTCCTTAGGACCGCTATTGAGCAGGTTTACACTAAAGGTCCGCTTTTCCTTTCAATAGAGGATGCTGAGACTCACAGCCAATTTCAGATGTTCCTGAAAAGAATATTTTACTGTCATGGGTTCCCGAAGGGACATCTACAGAACATGAGATGGATGTAGACTCTACCAATGGCACAAATGATCCGGCTGCGCCAGTAACACCTGTACCCGTTCCGGAGGGAGAGATATACCTCCGCCTCCTCATTCTACACTTCCTTCTAACGTCGCCATCGACATATCAGAAGGCTCTGGAACTGGCCGCTGAGACTGTGCAGAAGATGCAGTCGCTAAATCGTAGAAGCATGGATCCCATCGCTGCCAAGATCTGGTTTGCGGTTGAGAGGGCGTATGAACTTGGTGGCGAGCTTGCGGATGCGCGGCCGTAAGTATACTTCCTATTGGCTGTTTCGTCTTACTCACCCGTGTATCATAGATTATTCCTTGCCGCTCAGAGAACTGCGTCTCTTCGTCACGATGACGAAACACAAGCCTCCCTCATCAACCGTCTCCTCCGAAACTATGTCCACTACAACCTCTACGACCAGGCGGATAAGCTCGTCTCTAAAACGACATTCCCCGAATCTGCCAGCAGCCCTCAGTTCGCTCGGTACCACTACTATCTTGGCCGTATAAAAGCCGTTCAACTCAACTACAGCGAAGCCCACACGAACCTGCAGCAGGCGATCCGTCGTGCGGCCCAGCCGAAGACTGCACCCGGTTTCTACCAAGCTGTCCACAAGATTTTCATCGTTGTGGAGCTGCTTATGGGTGAGATACCCGAGCGCAGCCTCTTCCGTCACCCTGTACTTGAGAAGGCCCTCGTGGCATACTTCGACATCGTAAAAGGTGCGCCTTAAAGTTTCACGCTTTCCATTAACAAAAACTAACATCATTCTCGCCCTAGCCGTGCGCACAGGCTCCCTCTCCCAATTCCAAACAACCCTCTCCAAGCATTCCGCCCAATTCGAAGCAGACAAAACCTACACGCTCATCGTACGACTGCGCCAGAACGTCATCAAGACCGGCATCCGCCGTCTTTCCCTCTCCTACTCGCGCATTTCCCTGCGCGACATATGCTTGAAGCTCCACCTCGACTCGGAAGAAGACGCAGAATACATCGTGGGCAAAGCCATCCGCGACGGTGTCATCGAGGGCAGGGTCGTGCACGAGAAAGGGTGGATGGAGTGTACAAGCCAGAAGGATGGGTATGGACCTGAGGTTAGCGATGCGTTTGCGCGTAGGATTGGGTTCTGCTTGCAGCTTCATAATGAGAGTATCAAGGTATGTCGATGGATTTGTTTTTGCTTTCTTCTCGATGGGTGTGACTGACGGGGGTTTTAGGCAATGAGGTACCCGTTGAATGCTCATCGGAAAGAGTTGGCTGCTGCTGAGGGAGCTCGCGAGCGCGAGAAGGAGCTGGCTAAGGAGATTCAGGGCGGGGAGCTCGACGACGATTCTATGGGTGGCCCTGACGGTTTCTAAATTGATAAAACACCTCTGTGTGGATAGTCGTTCTTGCAATGTCCCATTTCTTTCTTTTTTAAGTATGGTCATGTGTGGAGTATATATTTTCGTAATGAGTGCGACATATGATGTAACTTTCGGAAGGGGATCGTCAGAAAGTGCTTCAGAATTGGACTCTACCCTCTCGGCAGCCTCTTCATGGCTTTCTTGTATACATAACAACGATTTAACATTTTCTTAGAAGATCCTCAAGGGCTTGGTTTCCTTCGATCCAGATATCACCACATATAATGAGACCTCGTAGCCGAAGTTGGGTGTACATGACCACAGAGTAACTGACCAGAGAGGCCCAGCAACTCTACTGCCTGGGTCGTCACTTTCTTCCACTCATACATCAAGATACTCCTCATCGTTCAAACCCTTCGCGTTATTTTCGGACCAAGCTTCACATGCCGAATCGGGCGTACGGACGGGTCTGAATTTACTTGCAATTCCAAGTTGGGACGACCGCAAGGGATCGGACTGCAAAAAGCCAACACTGGATCAATCGCTCATCATCGTGGTCAAATGCTTGGGACATACCCTCTGCGTCTGAATGGCGACCGCGCAGGTCCTGAACAGGGCATAAGCCTGCATTAAAACGACACGCATCAATCCCTCTTCATCGAAGGTCAACATGAACGTAGAATGATACTAGCCTCGCTGGCTGGGTATCCGTATCATCTTTTGGAGGAGATGAGGATGGAGATGCGTAGTCGTTGCTGAAAAACTGCGAACCTTCAAATTGTTGTAATTTGAACGCAAATAGCTTCTGTATCGTTCAAAGCATGAAAAATTGGACGAACACGAGTAAAGCTGATGAAAAACCTCCCTTCAGATCTTCGCAATATTCAAAATGAAATTGTGTAAATTCAGCGATTAGTCGAAAAATATCTTGGGTGACGGTCGGAGAACACCATTCGTTGTCATGAACAATAACACAGTTGGTGTCAGTGTTCTGAAAGTTAAATTAGTTCTATTTGGCTTGGATGACTCGGGAACGAACCTCCATCGAAAGTGCAAGCAAAGGGGTGGCTGGATGGAAATCCTGGGCGAGAGGCAACATCAGGTATCGGGGATTGTCGAAGATGAGAGAACTGACGGGAAGACCTGGGAGTGTTGCCATCCCAGTTGCGTATTTACTTGATACTGCGAGTGAGGGTTTATTGAGACGCAAATTGGTGGAGTCAGTGTCCACGTCCGAAGACGACGCGCTAGATGAGTTCGTTGCAAAAGCACTAGACTCTTTCTTTCGGCTTTGCATGAAGAACGAAACCAATGACTTTGTATAATACTGTCGTGTTCCAATATGAATCGCTTTGAAGAAAACGATATGGTATTTTGGAGGCTGTGGGCCATAGGGGTGTCGCGCGTTGTGCGCTTCTTCTTTGTGCGATAACTCTAGTTCCGTGGACTTCAGCCGAGATAAAGTGACCCGCAGTATTTGGTACGAGCGAATCTTGCAAGGAGAATGAGATGTTGAACTCTTGAGTGCTATTCGAGTAAACTGCAGATGACCATGCTGCCGTTTTCGAACATTCTGTCACAAGCATAATCTGGCCAAATCGAAGTGGGCCATGACTACTTCTCTGCGCAAAGTCATGCCATGAATCGCAATGGCGACGCAAATAATCCTCTGAAATTTGATCCCGGAGTGCTTCCTCTCGCTTCATCTGAGTTTCCTGCATGAGAATGGCACCACGTTCTGACGTACACTTGAAGTTAAAAGTTGCGTCCAGGAGAAAGGATGACACTGTCAAACCCATCATTCAGGAATACTTGCAATCAAGAAGAAGCGCCTACTCTGATACTCCAACATTGGCTTCGACGATGGACACGGTATTACTATGGAGAGGTCCAGGCTCTAACGCGGTATCGCAAGTCCGGATACACCCCAAATCCAGACGTTCAAAACCATCTGGTACTCCAAACCGCTGTGCTGGATCGTCGGCAGAGCGAGTCACATTAAAAAGGCGGTAGAAAGCGCCTCGTCTTATAAACCCGACATCACCAATTTCCATAGGTTCATCATTAAAAGCTGGCTCCGGACGGTAGAGAGGGTAACCGCAACGTCGTTTGCTGAGTTGCTCTGCGTATATGTCATGGACAGCTGGCATAGTGAATCAATAGAGTCAGTTCAGGAACAATTTTTCAAAGTATTGCAAAGGACTCGTCTTATAATAAAAAAGGGCTAAGGTGCTGTGCTTTTGCGAAGGAACATCCCTTCACAGTATGCACTGCCAGTGATCTGGACGTCAGTACTGAGCCTGACAAGGATACACAGCTGTTAACTCAACGTTCAAGCTGCTGTGAAGGAATGCTGTGTGATTGAGAAGGAATATTAATGCTGTGAAATGACAGAAGCACAGCACTATTGCCAAATCTTCACTGCCAGTGGAGTTGTCAGTAGCCTAGAGGCAGTGAGGGCAGAGGACCAAATTCCCCAGTAGGTGTATACGTTCGTACCGAGTCTGAACAGGTCGTAAATTGACTCAGAGGTTGTCTCAGTGGAGTTGGCATTATTGATCAGTTCTCCCCGGTGAATTGTCGAAATGAAAGAGGGGCATCAACTCCAAGGCGAAGGATGACGGAGAAAGAGAAAGTAATAATGGAGGAGTTCCCCGAGCCCGCCCTCAAGCGAGATTCTCATTTTCTTTCTAGCGCCACCTTCGACGTACCAGAGGCCTGGAATTGGTCGCTGAGAAAATGCAGCCGCTTAATCATAGAAGCATGGGCCTCATCGCTGCCAAGAAGCCCACACGCCATTCGGCGTGCGGCTCAGCCGAAGACCACACCTGGCCTTCCACAAGATTTTCACCGTTATGGAGTTACTGATGGGTGAGGTACCCGAGCGCAGCCTCTTCTACTACCCTATACTTGGGAGGCTCTCGTGACATACTTCGACGCACACCATAAGTGTCCCCACGGGTTCCCTATCCCAATTTCAAAAAACCCTCCAAGCAGTCCGACCAATTCGAAGCATACAAAACCTGCACGCTCATCACACGACTGAACGTCATCAAGACCGACATCCGTCGTCTCTCCCTCTCCTACTCGCGCGTCTCCTAATGATAAGCTTTGCTTCGATGAAAATATCTCAACATGGTCACGCTTATCAACTC